TTCTTAGGTGAAATATGGGTATATATAACAGTTGTGATATGTTTTCAGTTTTAACAGACAAATTATCAACCTAAACCTTAGCGCAGCCCTAAGCACAAGCGAGCAGTCCTAAGCGCAAAACCGATTAAAATATTTAACCGAATTTAAGAAACGTTTGCTCACATGCATCATGCATTAGCTATGTTCCTGGTGGCCAGAACCTAGTTAACTGAATTAAAACTTTATTTAACTTAAGTTCGTTAACTAAATTAGTTAACTTCGTTAAGTTAATCATGCACAGACTAACCCCTGCATGCACATTTTTTGACCACCAGGCTACTCTAACCTGTAACGATGCCCGGGCATCGCTGAACGTTGCTTTTTGGCGTCGATTTGGCGTAGATTTGCCGTCGAGTTGGCCTACATTAGGTGTAGATTTGCCGTCGAGGTTGCCTACATTAGGCGTAGAGTGCCGTCGAGGTTGCCTACATTAGGCGTAGAGTGCCGTCGAGGTTGCCTACATTAGGCGTAGAGTGCCGTCGAGGTTGCCTACATTAGGCGTAGAGTGCCGTCGAGGTTGCCTGCATTAGGCGTAGATTTGCCGTCGAGGTTGCCTACATTAGGCGTAGAGTGCCGTCGAGTTTGCCTACATTAGGCGTAGAGTGCCGTCGAGGTTGCCTACATTAGGCGTAGATTTGCCGTTGAGGTTGCCTACATTAGGCGTAGATTTGCCGTTGAGGTTGCCTACATTAGGCGTAGATTTGCCGTCGAGATTGCCTACATTAGGCGTAGATTTGCCGTCGAGATTGCCTACATTAGGCGTAGATTTGCCGTCGAGGTTGCCTACATTAGGCGTAGATTTGCCGTCGAGATTGCCTACATTAGGCGTAGATTTGCCGTCGAGGTTGCCTACATTAGGCGTAGATTTGCCGTCGAGGTTGCCTACATTAGGCGTAGATTTGCCGTCGAGATTGCCTACATTAGGCGTAGATTTGCCGTCGAGGTTGCCTACATTAGGCGTAGATTTGCCGTCGAGATTGCCTACATTAGGCGTAGATTTGCCGTCGAGGTTGCCTACATTAGGCGTAGATTTGCCGTCGAGGTTGCCTACATTAGGCGTAGATTTGCCGTCGAGATTGCATACATTAGGCGTAGATTTGCCGTCGAGATTGCATACATTAGACGCAGATTTGCGGTCGATTTCGATTTGGCTTGTCGGTAATAGCTCAACAGAGCCCATCAACCTGAAATAAGATTAAAGAAATAAGCAAACTACATTTTTTATTGAGAAGAAACACGCGTAAAATCGGGATTGTAAACAGACCCAAAACAACATCTATAAAACCTCTCTGGGATTTCAAGCATTTCCATGCCATTATTCATATTAAATTATCATGCGGCCGTTCTCGTTCTTGACCTGAATCATGCATATAAACTTCCCATTGTTCGGTTTATCTAAAAAATTAATGTTCAATTGCTTAATACTCACGTTTTATTATGAACAGGTTTTGTCGTTGTTTCAAATGGCTTGACCCGCTAAATCACTACCTGCAATAAAACCAAAAGAATGCTTGTTATAGACAGCGATTTCAAGGATTTACCTTCGATGAAGGGAGCTTAAATATCGGGAGAAAACTTGCGGTGTGATTATTCAGTTGAGAGAACCATGCATGATGCCTGATCAAGCGTTTCAAGTTTTCCCATCCTATTTTGAATAAAATAGACCCAAAATTACCTGTTCATTTCAGCAACAAGTGTTGAAGAGCAGCTTCGGATTTGTCGTCTCTTTAAAATCGAGTCATCTCGGGGATTTCAGCTATGGGTTTTCTTTCCCAGCTCATTTCTATATTCGGTTTGGTTTTAGCTTTTAAACTCCACCTGGAAGAACAAAAGGCAATGTTAGTTTACTGGTTTGGTCTTTATAACTCAATTCAAAGCTAATTGCTTGCGATTGGAGCAAAGGTTAGCGGCTCACATACGATTTAGCGTATATTACCTTTCTCATATCATCAACAAGTCCCAAGAAAATGCGTTGACGTGCTTTCTCTTCAAAAGCGAGTTATCTTGAGTCAAATGCGAGTCGTCTCGGGCAATTTCAGCTACGGTAACAGACTTTTTGCCCACTTCGCTTCATTCATTTTGGTTTTAAGCTTTTAAACTCCACCTGGAAGAATAAGAGGCACTATTAGTTCACTGCTTAGGTCTTTAGAACTCAATTCAAACGTAATTTGCGTGTGGTTAGAGGGAAGGTTAGCGGCTCAACGGTAAGATTTGACGTATATTACCTTTCTCATATCATCAATATTCCCCAGATAAAGGAAAAAGCCTAGACTTGCTTTCTCTTCAAAGGTGAGTTATCTTGAGCCAGTTCAGCCACAATTCATCAGTCATCAATCTCTTGTTCACAAATTTCATCGTTTAACTTCGCTTTAATACGTCAAAATTCTGCATGAAAAGAATAAAAGCTACGTTAGTGCTATACAAGTTTTGTATTTGAAGCTGAACACAATACGAGAGAGGCATTACAAGACGTGAACTAAAGACACGTGGAACCTCAGCCCAAAAGCTCACGATGAAACAAGCTGATAAAACACGCAAAGGGAAAGGCATATTACCTGGTATTACACCAACGACAGTCTACTTCTCTTTTGCTGAAGACGATAGCAATCTGATAGCAATTTCTGTTGAAATTTTCTTCCCATGGAGGAGACTCATTTTTATTCTTCGAAGACCAGCGCTGAAGTGATGTCTCAAATTGGAATCAAAAGCACATATTATTCATTTCACCCGCTCCTCGTGACTGCAAAATAAAGTCATCCTATTGGATGAACACTCCCAACCTGACAGCTCAACAACGCTTTTGATTGGATGTTTATAGTAATTTAAATAATATGATTAATTCTCTTCTCCTGAGCCTGAACACCAGAAATGAAAGGAAAGAATTAATCATATTATTCCAATTACTATGCTCGTCCAATCAGACTGAGCAATGTTGAGCTGTCAGGTCGGGAGTGTTCAGCCAATAGGATGACTTTATTTTGCAACACAAGGAGCGGGTGAAATAAATATCTAGCTTTGATTCAACGTTGCCACATCACAACTTGGATAACACGGAGTCGGAGTTCCGGAGCTGGAGTTTCGGAGCCGGAGTTTCGGTGCCGGAGTCCCGGAGTCAAAATTACGGAGTCTGACGTAATAATATTGGAAAAGACGGAGTCAAAAATTATGGAAAACACGCTATCAAATTTGCATAATTCACGTGGAGTCATTGACCACTGAACTTGGCAGACTTCCAAACATTTATACTCCGTGTTTCCCACATTTTTAACAGACTCCGTGTTTTCCATAATTCTTAACTCCGTGTTCCCCATATTTTTAACAGACTCCGTGTTTTCCATAATTTGTGACTCCGTGTTTTCCAATATTATTACGTCAGACTCCGTAATTTTGACTCCGGGACTCCAACTCCGAAACTCCGACTCCGTGTTATCCATGTTACCATCTTGAATAGACCTTTTCGGTAAAATCCTCCTAAAATGAGATGTATTTCAAAGATGCAAAACATCCTTCTATAACCCGTGCATGAAAAACGGAATTTTTCATTTTTACTAATAAGTATGGAAATACTGAGCCATAAGCCACATTTATTGAACAAAATAAAAAATTCTTTTTCATATATGTGTTGAAGAAGGATGTATTGCATCTTCGCACGTGGCTCGTGAGAGTAAACATTCGGTGTCGCATCTACTCTACTCGAAATCTATTCATTTAAGGTGGTTCTAAATTTAAAACGTGGTGATGTTAAAATGTTGTGACGTAATTACCGAAAAGTTCTATTGCATGCATTCGACGCGACGAAAATGAGACGTTTAACCCGGCCTTATTCACTGTGATATTTGGGATGACGAGCCGCATTTTTTAAAAACCAGCGGGATTTGCAAACTGTGGAACTGAGTTGGCACAGCTTACACTTCATTAGTTAACGCACAGTGTGGTTAACGCTGTGCAATCTCATCACGGCAAGCAAAACTGCTCAAAATCAGTGCGAGATCAGTGTACAAAATCAGTGTACAAAATCAGTGTACATTGTCATAGGTGTGTCACCTGCATAGCTAGCGCTGACTCTGTTATATACATCTATAGAGGGAATAATAAAGACTTGTTATGGTTTCCACTGACTAAGGAAAGATTGGGCATCGTTAAAACTGTGGCGCATCTTTCCGGCACAAGAGATATTGAAATGAGTATAAAACTCCGATAATAACATGCGCTTGTTTTGTTTCATAAAGATTAATTCAGTATCTCAAAATCATATAACGATTCGTTGAATCTCGGCCCTCGGGTGTCCATGTTCATGTAAACAGCTCCTCACAATCTAACATTGTTTTTAAAACATAAAACATAACGTTTCGTAGTTGTCAAAATTTACATCTCTCAAAAGTAAAATAACATGGCAAGTTGCAGGAAAAATTGCTAGGTGTAACAGGGCCTTTATGAACGTTTTCCATTTAATAAATAAGTGTTTAATAGTCAAAACCCAAAACGGGAACCATTTCCCGAGGTATTCTTGGGTTTCATGTGACGTCATGATTCCAGTGGGGTCAACTCGAAAACGAGACAAAGTAATCAGAGTGAGTTAATTGTTCACTGTATGTGTTGGTGAAAACCACCAATAGGCTATTTAGAGTGGTTAACATTGAATTGGAACTAACAAAAGATATTGGAATTCTTCATACATGTATTTATTTCATTTCATTTTCTATTAAAACATTCTACACGTTACTAGACCTAGTAATATCACTGCGATACTATTATCATTCAGTTACATATGTAGTAATTTCCAAATCTTTAATACTATTCAAGGTCAAGTAAGCAACAGCTGGAAATAATCGTCATGCTAAAGTCTTATTCAAATTACGTCGTGAGAAATGATAATCACATAATAAAATATTACGAAGCGTCACAACGAAAAAGTCACGATAATATAAGATCATGCGAAAAAAACAACACTCAGTTTTAAAGGTTTACTAAAACATTGACAGAAAGTGACGATGATACATTAGAGACGTGATTACTCTGTGAGATCACTAGAGAGGGGAGGGTTGGGTACGGTTCTTCATTGTTCGACCGTTTCCAAATCTTTTTGCACTTGTGAGAAATCAATGTCTTCACCAGTGCATCGCTTGTACAAGGCCTTGATATCTTGACACGTTGTTTCAAAGTGAGTTGTGGCGTCATACGAAGTAGTTAAGAATACCTAAAATAAGGTTTAAAAAAGAGTTCGAGTATCATGTCCTGTGGTACATTCTAATCATTTTCACCATTTTTTAACAATACTCTTTAGTTATCAACTTATTAGTCTTAAGCTGCAGTACCAGGTTGTGGTAAAAAATACTTTAAACTTTACAAGGTGCATTAATTAATGTTTTATTTACTGACTGATTAATGATTAATGTTAAAAGCATTCCGATTGATTAATGTTTTACATTCTAACGCGTACAGTACAGTTCAGGACTTCAGAAGTTAAAATCACATTTGAAGAAGTTCACAAACCTTGCTTTGAGACCCATCATCAATTGGCTCATAAACATCATCAACCGACAAGAATCTGCAATTATTTATTGTCATAAGTTCGACCATTGATAACATCATCAGTGAGAATGTGTTCGTTGATATTCGCTCATTCTCGGCTTTTTTAAATTTGCAACATGAAAGGTTGTTTCTATCCTACTTCTACCATAAGTCAATGTAATAATTGTGTGTTTCTACTGTAGACTTCGTCTCAGGCCTGGTTAAAATCTTTCTTATATGTTGGCTGCAAACAATTAGGGAACAAACTCGATTTCTGTAACACAATGCTATTTTACCCTGATAGTTTCAATGTGAACACAAAATTAACGGTAACAAAATGAAACCAGGCCTCGCAGTTTTAAGGAAGAAAAGGAGACATACTTATCCTCGATAGGAGAAATGACATCCAAGCCTGGTTTAAGTTCAGCTTCAGGGTTGTCAGTCTCTACGGTTGTGCTCACCACGGCAATGTAATACTTATCAGGACAAACTTGATGAGAGGTCGACACACAGCACACGTAAATATCTACACAGAGAGGTTTTATTAAAATGTGCTAAATAATAGTGCAAACGCAGGTGCAATTTAACTGTAACTATGTGTTAAAAAAGGGAAATGTGGTGTGATGACACAGGGAAATGTGGTGTAACTGACTGATATGGCAAAAGAGGCAGTGACAAAGTGTAAAAAATGAATGATAATTTTCATTACATGCCTTAAATAGAGATATGGTAGCTGTTGGCCTTAATAAAATGTAGGTTGTCTTGAATGAAAAGAGAACTGATTGATACCTGACTTTCTTCCAACTTGGTTTTGGGGGATGATGAGTTGACATGATGAGGAATTGGATGTGTCTCGTAGAGGATGTGTCAGTATACAGATACACCGAACAACCTGGATAATAGTTATACAGTAGATATTTAAAATAGCAAGGTGAGTCCTGTTTACACTACACTCAATTTATGGCACAGCACGGCTAAAATGGGTTCCTGTGTCTGTCTCATCCATTCCAGCCATTGTACTGGTAGCCTGAGCACTAATAATGTAAATTTGGGTACAGGTACCAATTTTAGCCATGTTGTGCTAATAAAATGACTGTAGTGTAAACAGGGCTTTAGACAAATACAGTAGATGACAAGAATCATAGTAGTTTAATCTTCGGTTTTCAAGATGTTGTTCTTGGGTTCTATCAAATTAGTTGCTGGTTATGGTTCTTACCTTGCCAACTTTTTTGACTTTTTCAGGAAAATAAGTTGGATCAGCAATAACACATTTTGTCTTGACAGTTTCACCTTGTGATGTCACACCATTTACAGCACCCGACTCATCATATGTATAACCTTCAATAGGTTTGTCCAACATGTATGTTCCTCCATAAATTGCACTAAGTCGAGCAAATCCTTGTGGAAGTTCCCCAAGACCATACAGTGGGTAGAGGTAGGGGGATTTCCCATAACGAGCTAACGAGTTGCTAAATGTTTTGTAACAAAAAAGGTGCAATATGCATAAAAATTGCATTTACTGTCAATATATTGTGTCATTCATTCAATAATGTTGTAACAGTGGGAAATATATGTATATATATTAGGTGTTTAATATGTATTTTGATATTATTCACTTCTCAATTAGTGTCTAGAATCAAATAAATGGAAGAAAACTGCAACCTGTAAAGATTAATCTTCATTAGAGCTTCCTTACATGGCTTAGATTTGTACCTGAAACACAAGAATTTTCATTTTCATGAAGTTCTACCATTAATTTAATACTCCAATTCAAATGCTTGTTATACATACTGATCATCTCTATACAATGCTAAGGCATGGCCTGTGAAGTCCTCAGTGTTGGCATCCAGTCCAAACTTCTTATACACTTCACTCATTGTTGTTTTATCTGGATCAATACCTAATGAGGCAATATTGTAGATGAATGACATTTTCCCTTTATAACATATAGCTCTAACACATAATGATTACATTTTTACCTTGCCATGTTTTGGGATCTTCTGGCTCAAAATTTGACACGAAATGCAAGAAATTCTTAAATCTTCGTTTCTCAAAAATACCCATAAGTGACGTGGCAAGTGCCTCCTTCTCATTTGCAGGTACTTTGTAGATTTTACCCCCACTCTTGTAAACAAAGCTTCCCTCAATCTGCTTGAACTCTAGGTATCTTGTTACCCCACTAAGAATAAGGATCTTCACAAGTTCACCTAAAATGTCAAAAGATTAAAAACATAAATGCATTGTAATTTTATAATCACAGCAGGCCTATTTTAGCATTTATAAGTGTACAAATGAATTGTACACTTTGTGCAGTAAACAGATGGGCAAATGTGTAGCATTAAATGTGAATGTGTGCAGTATTAAAATTTGAAACACATTGTATAAAATGTGATTACCGTATAAAAGAAAAATCAAAATTATGTACAAAGGAATGTAAAAGAGCTTTTACCTTCCAACCCAAGAGTAGAATATATAAGAAGCTGTATCTATATCACTTAAATATCAGTGTTAATTATTATCTGTATTAAGAGTAAATTTCTCAATGTTTTCAGTATCGTGTGTGGAAATTGGTTAGAATAAGCCCTAAATCACAACCTTAAGTTTGGAAACAGACTCAAGCTATAAGCAATCTAAATTCAATAAAATTTACAGCATACCCACTAGGGAGTTTGCTCTTTTTAAAATAATTATTCCATATACTATGCACATAGATGCAAACATTGTGAGATGATGGTTGCATTCAATAGCACTTAAGCTATTGTCTTCACCATCATTCCTTTTTTCGTGTGAAGAAGACATATTGCATTAAAAGGCTTTGTTTAAGTATGGTCCACTAGTTGATAGGCTGTAAAATTAAGTTTTGTTTATGCATGTAACTTTGTACACATAGAACTTCCAAATACCATTAAATAAGGAAACACAAGATTCTTACCATCAGCCATCAAAAACTTGGGAATTAGGTCAACATTCCAGTCTCTGCCTCTACCATATTTCTCGTCAGGTTTACCTTCCCTTTTGAAATGTTCATAGAATGTTTCTAGTGGTGTTAGTGACGCACTAAGACCGCCATAATACTTGTTGCGATCCATGTGAAGTACTTTCTTTTTGTTGACAGAAAGCAAACCACTCAAAATGCATTCCTAGATAAAACACAAAATATTATGGCTTATTCTGTGGAGAAAACCTATTTTTAAATCAACATATCTTATGAATTTTGACTTCTATAGTTTTTAGGAAGAAATTGAAACTTTTTTGAAATTTAAAAAAAAAATTATTTATGTAATGCAGTTCAACCAATGTTGCTTTAGGAAAAATACTAAAAAAAATCGCAACATTTTGCAAAGTAGTGCATTAATACTTATCCATACATCCAAATTATTATGTTACCATTTATTATTTCATATTTCCAAGTTTTTCAAACAGTTTTCAAGTTTTACACTAAGCAGGGGCTGTTTTGGAATAGGGATATATAGGAATAGGGATTTGTCATGTACTGGGGTCAGGGTCCCTGTTTTGGTGATAAATGGAATACCTAATTCTCTTCAAATTAAAAACACAGTACAGGTCGTTGCAGATCCTGGCATTTACAAAACGTTTTTTCAAAAGAGGTCGAGCCCCGGTATTTCTATCACTCCAATATTGCTGGTGATCTGTATTCTATAAAGTTACTTCACTATTTTAATATTGCGTCTAACTAATCAAAACTCCAGAAATATGAAATATATTTTATATAAATCCAAGAACTAAAGACCTCTTGTACAGCTACGGAAGTGTATAAAGGAAATCGAAAACAATGCTGACAAATAAGTGAAAGTACCGGTGTGTTTAGACGTGTGCCGTACTGCCGTAATAGCAAATTTTAAATCATTTCAAGTCTCAAGAGTCTCCATGCTGCTTACAAACACTTAATATTTAAAAATCTAAACAAAGTCTTTATTGAAACAAATATATTTCTGCTGTCACGTCGATATATAGCAAGAAAAAGAAAGGTCCGATTGTCATATAAACTGGCCTTTGCCAAGAATGAAATCTGGTCATTGACCAAGAAGTGATCGGACATATTTGATTCAGTCAGTGCACACGAAGCCTGTGGTTTTTGCGAAATAACACATTCAAACGTACCTTTAAGCCAGTGCCAAGTACGACATAATCATATTCCTCATCCATTGCTGATAAAATTTGGTATGAAACAAAAAAATCAGTAAGTCTTTCTGGTATTGAATATATTCATACAAGACTTGCCACACACCCTCAACCTGCCGAGATAAAAGGAGGGAAGACTAAGGGCTAACATCTGTTTTTAAGAGATAGACAGGTTTAAATATGGATATGAATTATGAAACCCCGAACGACCACTGATATCGATAATATGATGAAATAGAGTGGATTGTTGTGAAAAAAATTAATTTTACAGGGGGTAAAAATTGATTGCATAAAATCAGCGCAACGTCCGAAATTCAATCATTTATGTACAATGTTCTTACCGTAATATACTGTCAAGTCGAGAACTTCGTTCAGAAATCGGTGAATTTTAAGTCCATTATTCTGACCTTGAATGTGTTTGTATATTTGAGATCTTGTAACACGTGCGGATCAATGGAATAAATTCTTCAATTCCCATGGGCGAAGTATGTAAAATTTCACGACAAGTTATTGGTCAAAAGAATAGTAATGGATGAGCAGTCTCTTCAAGGTTATTTGGAATCGCCCAATCGAAATCCCTCTGCTCAGGCTCGGGTGAGTAATCTGGCGTTTTTGTTAGAAAATCAGTGTATGAAAATAATCGTAATTCAAAAAAAAAAAAATATAGACGAGTCTTTCAAACGCACTTACCAAAATTACACCTTGGTTTGGAGCTCCATATCGCAGGAGCACCAAACAAATACTGAAGTACCTCGTCTGTTATTTATACTTCTTTATATGTCTGAGTGTACAACAAGCCTCAGAACTAGTTGTAAATCCAAAAACTTACTTTCCAATCACGACCCTAACCCAAAGAAAACTTGTTAAAAAGTTGAAGAGAACAAAATCAAAACATGACATATGTTCAAAAAAAGTACAGGCAGAAACAAAACCTGGATAATTTGTATAGCACATACCAGTCAATTTAGTCAAGCACCTAATCCACTTGACTACAGAGCATCTGCTTGAATAAAATTTAAACTTTTTTAATAATCTAAAATAAATCATTACAGTACAGTGCACCTAGTAAAGCACTCATTTTAGGTGGCATTTAATAACTTGTCGTAACTTAAATTAGACCCTGCTAGAAGTGTCAGACCATGTCTTCTTTTAATTTTTTTTGCTACAGAAATAATGCTCTGTAGTCTTATTGTCTTTGTAGTTACACTGATTACCCTCATGCACATGCTAGATTTTGAAAAACACTCATTAAAGCAATAAATTAAGTTTATCTTTAATAACATATCTGACATTAAATGTTTGATTTCAGACCTTAGCTTACTTCGAACAGTTGAAAAATTCTGTTGATGGATGGAAAGTGTGTGGCCAAGCCCTTTTGCAAGGGAATGCAAGGTTCATCTGTTTGTTTTGTACATATATACACTAATTATAGAGCTTAACATCGTCTTTTAACAACTGTAGTCACAATAAGCCTTTTTCCATTTTCCCTTTCAAGTTACATTGTGTTCATTGTGTGACAGTAGTTGATTATCAGAGGCAATTTGTTGGAATTAACCCTAACCCAGAAAACTATTAACTAGTCATTGCTCATCCAACACAGCATCTAGAGCGGATGCATTTTAGCTTATATTGGCTGGAAACTCATTTTTAATTCTTGTTTCATTTTTCTGTAGCAATGACCATTCCAAATTTTTTTGCTTTCAAGTGCTAGAGCACTGTGCAAAAAAGAGGTATTGTAAAGTGTTGAGAGTTGAGACAGGGCTTAACTTAACAATTGCGAGGTTGGGGGATTATTCATGTATGACAATCTGCAACTGTCCAATTTGGAGTCACTATAATCACTTATATTTTGATTATTTTATCAAAATAATCGAAATATAAGTGATTATAGCGACTGAGCTATAATAAAAGTGTGAAATAAGATTATTATATATGTATATCACAGTGATGCAAATTTCATATTTCAGTTTTAAAGGCATGACAGAATCTGATCAGCAGTCACTGAAGCAGATGTTGATGTCATGGCTACAACAAAAGGTAAACCTAGTTTTTTCCCACTACTGTACAATCAAATTGCACCAAATTGGATGACTACCCCTTTCCTAATTAACATAACCTGCTCAAACCACAGATATTCATCACAGTGCACTTTCTTATGGAAATTTTAAGCTCTGTGACTCCTGCAGTAATTTTCACATAATTTAAAGTGCTTCATCTCTCATTCACTTACTAAAATGTGAATCTTTTGCCTTGAAAAAGGCCAGGTGCAGTGATGGCTATCAGTTATGGTAGGGTTTCAGTTTAGGTCGCAATAGTAAATACAGTATGTCTCACTACTGCCCAACAAATATCTTTCATCTTGTATTGAAACTCCCATCTCCTGACATAAATCATTTCCCCTTTAGGAAGTTACACTCCATTAAGGGAGGAATTTGTTCAAACTTTTCGAGTTTTTCTTAATACTACATTCATGTATTTCCTCTAAAACTGATTTCTTCAACTTTCATCAGTCAATGAGTGATGTTAATGCAGAGAAAGGATTCATATTAAACAAAGGAGCTCAAGTGATTGTGTTGATTTTTGTCAATGACTACCCTGAAAAGGTATTTCAAAGGCTAATTTCAATTAACATGTTACTTTTGAAACAAATACCCATAAGGCAATACATTATTTTTGCCGTACAGTATATAGGAAAAAACAATCAAGTTTCTGAAGGCTCAACTTAATAAACCTTACAGAATTGGTCAATTCAATATATATTGCATGAGTTTTTTTGCCCAGTATACACTATACAGTAATTTTTTGTTTCTTTTAATCCGAGAAAACAAGCATTTATATTCATTTCAGTGGTCATCATTCTTCTCTGATATCCTTTCGACCCTCCAACTTGGACCTGCTGCTATGGATATTTTCTTGAGAATTCTTAAAGCAATTGACCAGGAAATCATCAATCGAGAAGTCCAACAATCTCCAAAGGTATTTAATAGCAATTTATGGGATCGAGGCACATCGTGCAACTGGGAGCATTTTATGCCCGAAAAATTCCGTTAAGAAAGCTCTGAAAAACTTGGTTTAAAAAACTTGGTTTAAAAAAACCACAACAAATCTGAAAAGATCTGCATTTTGGGCTATGTTACATCGGACATCTCCTATCGTAAGGACATCTCCTATCGTAAACCATAGGCGGTCCAAAATTGCGCGAGAAATTTTTCGGTAATTTGAAAAAACATGTCAAGAAGTTGTATAGCAGTATCGGTGTTGCGGATTTTGTCGAATCCTTCTGATGGATGTTTTTTGGATGTTTTATAGTCTGTTGACTTGCAATGTATACGAGCAGCAAATCAACTAAAGCCAATGCAGTACTGCTTATCTGCTTTACCAATAACAAACTACATTCCATACGTCAGAATTAAGTGAATTGGATCCGACAAAGTTGGATCGTGTGAACGGGCCTTTACATTGTATCCAACTTCTATCAAGACTACGAGGTTTTTGTTTTCTAATTATAATAATTCCATGCAAAACTTCTCCCTCATAGGATATCCAACGAAGCACTCTTATCAAGGATACAATGCGTGTTCAGTGTGTGAATGATTTGGTAGAAGCGTGGTATAAGATTTTGGTAAGCTACAGATCAATGTATTATGTTGATATACATGTAGACTCTCTTTTTTTACCACGTATTTTTCAATATTGTATATTTGGCAATGCGTACATATTTTCGATTTAGAGTGACCCAGAAAATGTTCAAGCCCAAGTTATATGTTTATGTTTGGATGTGATCGGACGTTACGTGTCTTGGATTGATATTAATTTAATTGCGAACGATAAATTTATAAGGTATATGTTCAGTTTGAACGATTTTTTCACTGTTAACTTTATACAACTACATATAAGTCTTATAAGTCTAATGGCTTTTTCCCTGCACGCGTTGCAACGATTCTCGTTGCTGCTGTGAGTAAAAGCATGAAATTAAAATTGACAAAAAATAATTTTGTTTTGATGAAAAATACGCGCAACGAGCTTCTGAGTTGGTTGTAGTCAATGTAAAAAAGCAAAAGCTAGTTTTAGATTTAGTCTAACTTATTCCCCCCGTGCGCCTGACAGGCTTCGTGAAGTTCCTAATATCTTCATATTACATTTAGACGGCCTTTGCATCAATAAAAGCCATAGATTCTGTCAAGATTTTGTTTTCTACTTCTTGAACTTTTCCATCATAGGATATTGTTGGGTCACCTGTCAATGGATCTACTTAGAGAAAGTGCGTGTGATTGTCTGTCTGAGATCATTAACAAGGGTAAGAGTGAAGTTACTGTACATAACGCGAAGTCATAGGACGTAACCATTTTGATCAAAATATACATTAGGTTTTGTTGTATTTTTATTTGTGTAGCTAAGGCTTCGAAAGCGAAGTTCTAACAGTATATAAACTCTATTTAGTTGTATTAAATTTTTAATAATGCTTTTCATAATTGTCTAGGAATGCTCCCTGTGGATAAAATTGAGTTGATTCAGTCCCTTCTAAGAGTTTTGGAAGATGCTGGTGTTTTGCCACCAAGTGAGGTATATAAATATATATATATGATTGCAGTGCATGTATAGTATATTATAATACAAAGTGTCTTTTATTGGTACAGTATACACTTTTAAATTAATGCAGAAGTGATTGTACGTATTTTTCCATTTTCATGCAGACGGACGATAGCGATTTTCAGGCCAAACTTGCCAAGCTTATTAATACAGCTGGAACTCAACTCATTATCTGCTGGTCAAAGTATGAATACGATGATATGATATTTGTGTGCTCCATTTCTTTTTGGTATCCAAAAAATTACAAATGCAGGGCCTTTCAGAGAATTTGAAGGCCTATGCATGCATATTGTTTAATTTCCTACTTCTTATGACTTTGTTTAGACTTACAAAAGCTGGAAGTTCGGATAAAGCGGATAGGACTTTGAGCATTATTGAAAATAAACTCAATTACATGTTTGGGTACGTGCCTTTCCATACATGCATGCTATAAAGAGAGTAATGTTGAAAGAATCTCTATGATAAATAAAATAACCAAGCTTTACCCATTCATTTTCTATCCAAACTTCGTTATTTTGTTCAGATTTCTTGGCAATGAAGATGATGATATTTCTCAAAGTGTTCACAGCTTTGCAAGGGATTACATTACTCTACTCAAACAGGTATTTAGGAAAGGAGTGTGCAACGTTTGAGCTAAAGTAGATACTGTTATCTGCATGAAGTGCCCAGCACCGTTCTGTCTTTTGAGAAAGGGACGAGGGGATCAGAATTAACAGTATGATATTTGTGTTTTAACAGATACCTAACATGTCAGCTGAACAAGAAATAAATATCAAGGTAAGTTCTGGTTATATAGGAATATTAATTCACATGCATTAGTACTTTAGGGCAATAGGGATATAAACAGTGTATTTTAATCACCAGGGTTTGCTACTCACTGTTATAAAGAAAATGAAATATGACGAGTCATACGACTTTGATCAGGAGGTTAGACATCCTATTAAAACATTGTTGTCTTGCACTGTATTTAACTTTAAATTGTTGACTGTTATGATAATTCTGTTCAGGGGGAAGATGAGGCAATGTTTCTGGAATACAGAAAGCTCCTTAAAATCCTTTTTCAAAACATTGGACAGCTGGTACAAACTTACACTTCTAACTTCTTTCTTTCGCAATTTAATGGTTGGAGAGTATTTCATTTTAAATGTTAAAGTTGCAAGTTGAATTCTCGTTCAAGTTCTGTTGAAATTACTGATTGGTGTGCACTTTTTAGGATCCTAATCTACTGTTGTCAACCGTAATGGAGGTTGTATCAAATAGATTAAGGTAATGCTATTCCAGCCATGATTATATAGAATTAGAAACTGCATGCTTCTTGCCTAAACAAGTGAAACTCGTACGACGTTCTGTCACTTTTTTAGTTGCTGCAAAATCAGCTATATTTCTATCATAGTGATAGAAAACGTCGTAGCAAAAAATTAGATCATGTGAACAGACTTTATCATACATGACTTTATCATACATGACTATCATAAAATGTACTTTGAATTTCCCTATTTTTTCAGGGATTGGAAAAGTTTGGATTTTATGGATGTGGAAGTAGCTATAAGAACGATATATTACGTTGGTGAAGCTATACCGGTTAGGATTCGTGTTTTTTTAGTTCACTTTCAATCTGCTCGCAGTCGCTCGCCTGTTTGCATGCATGACCAGTATTCATCATTATAATAGTTATTAATCGTAAATCTTTGAAAATCTGATCTAATTTATTCACTTAATAACTTTATTTTGTAAATTAGAACCAACAGGTTTACACGGACCCAGCGAGATGGGAAATTATGCAGAACATACTCTCAACTGTGAGACACTAATTTGTTTTTAAATTTTATTGATTCTATATGCACTGTAATATTTAATAATAAATTGATGAATTATTTTGATTACAATTGCAGTTGATAAAAAGCAATGTCATTTCCCAAACACATTTTTCCGTTACCATCTTGGTAAGACAATTTTCTTTTCTCAAAAACATCAAATTCGATTGGATTAATTGCTACATATATTATTGATTTTTTAGTATTTTGAAACATTGGTTCGCTATGACAGATTCTTCGCAGCACAACCTCAATTTATCCCAGAGGTTTTGGTAAGCACCATTGGATGACGCTTTTCATAAAAATGACCGTTTTATCACAAATTAGCCTAGGAAGAACAGCATTCATGCAAAGATTTCAAAATTCTAATAGGATGATTGATGGGATGACAAGTTTGACATTTTAGCATATATAGCAATGGTTTGAGGGACATGTGGAGGAAATATATAAAAGCTCGTCCATAAAAAGCTCGATTGTGCATTGTCAATCTCGCTAGCAGCTATTACCAGTCTTAATGTTATAAACTAAAATTAAGGCATTTTACACAAATATTTTGAAGTCATTCCTTTCATTATACCAGAGAAAAATCTAGAAGCACGTTTCGGTTAATTATAAGGTAAAAAACCCAGGTTTTTGGCCGCCATTTTTAAGAAATACGTCTATATTGGATACATATGCACAAGCCATGTAGGATTACTCCTCCTTCGACTATTTATAAATTATTTAAATTTCTCAATAGCATTCAATTCTAACCTTATTCTTTCTGTAGGCTTCATTCCTTGACGAACGCTGCCTCGGACATTCCAATTGTAAAGTACGAAGTCGAGGCTGTTATCTGTTATCTAGATTCATGCGAAACCACAAGTGAGTTTAATGCTACAATTTTCAGTCAAAGACCGTTTTTTATCCACTGACGACTTTTTCTCAAAAGTGACCTTTTCTTCCTCCTGCGTCAGAGACGCCCAGGGTTTTGCCACCATATGCGTAGTCTATCTTTGCTTTGTCTTTTGGTGTTTGCATGCATTCGAAATCTCTGCTCGAAACGAAAACAAAGTTGCACGAAAATATCGCTAGTGAAAAACTGGCTTTAGTTTAAAATGAAAGGCAATCAAGAGTAAGGGCATCATCCAGTGTGAATAATCGTCTTGACCATCGACACAAAGGGGAGAACTATTGTTCGTATTGGTGGTCATCAATGTTTGGGGTTGTTTGCTAGACTTGAACGTGGAGTTGCCTGTGTGGACTACTATAGTCACGATGTAAATGCGAGGGTTCCAGCTAGCCGCACTGTTGGGAGCGTAACGATAATATAGCCATGATAATCTTTTGAAGATTTGTATAAAAATGTATTTTCAGGAATCAATTACAAAATTTCGCCTTGGATGTTCTCAGCCGTATTCAAGCAATTTTAGTTGTGTCACCCGTAAGTTTTTGTGTGGTCAATTAAATATGAAATATATTTTAATATAAAACTAAAATATTTACGTGCGAAAATAGAGATACGTTTTATCATTCTTAGAATAACGGGTATCAGAACATGTTCTCTGCAGATGATCAGGCAAGCATTTTTTACAGTTTAATCAATTTATAATGGAATTACTGCGATTTGTATTATTTTATCGATTGCAACAATTATACATGGATATATTAAATTAGCTATGAAGGAGCAATTATCTCACGTGCATGAATCTCGCGTCATTTTCACAAAATATGTTTTCATGGACGAATTTATGCTGTCAGATCAATTTAAATATACTCAGATAAGGCCCAACGAGGCTAGGCGAGGCTTAGCGAATACTATAACTATAGTAACCTAACTAGTTATGCCCGCTGTGGATCGGTAGGGATGGAGACGGCAGCACGGCGAAGCGAACGAGCTCGGCGAAGCGAACGAGGTTGGCGATGCGTAGTCTTTACTGTCATTTTTAATCATGCGTACGTCCATCAGATATGGAACCTAAACGGTACCCTCTCCATCCCGTGATCACACTGTCACACGGAATCACAAAAGTGAAAGCCGTGGAAGGAAAACATGAACACACACGATGCACACATAGTAAATAGTTAGATACATACCGTAGGAGTCTTTGCGAACCAACTGAACCTAGAGAGGCTAAACTAAAAAACAATAAATGGAAACCATCCCCCGACGGGTGGAGTGTCGGGGGAGGAAGGCGGGGCGAACGAAGCGATAATAAGCAGATAAACAACAAGGCAAGCTATATAAATACTAAGGCCCGGGGAAACCCCCCGTGCCAAACACCCTGCTAGGAACCCACGCGAGGGCCAACTCTTCGATATTAACTTCTTTTATTATACTAATAAATACATTAATCTTCACTAAGAAATGAGTCAAGTTCATGCATTAACCAAACAACAAAATTTCTTAACTTTCTATTCAGATGTTTCTCTACGAAAGTGCTGGTCTGTTAATTGTGTTTAGCGGCACCACAGCAGAGGTACAGTACATGCACCATTGCAATTATATATAATCGATTGTGAAAATCAATGTCGCCCATGTATTTTTATGTATTTATCTTTTAGAAACAAGAGACAGACATGAGAAACGTAATTACTCCATTGATAACAAGATTCAATGCTGTTTTTGACAAAGTGAGTCCGTGAATTAAACTTTTCATGCCTGCGTGAGTTTCATATCTATCAGCAAAAGCGATTGAGTCGAAGAGTTGCCTATTCAGGAGTGAAAAAAATACAATAACTTAGACTATAGTATACGAATTTTTACGATCATGTTAGAACGTAAGCATGGCTAAGCCTGCAAAACACTGAAAATGTCGTGACGTATTTTATTTCTTAGATAAGCTGCAGTAATCTGGATGAAACTTCGCTTTTACCCTACGCCCAATACTTGTATAATCTTGCTTCGTTTGCAAGGTAAATAATCTTACAGTCACTTTTCTGAGGGTTAAAGAGGGCATTGTTTTATACTATGAGGAGTTATACTGTGCATGCGCTTGACTTGTTTGACGTCCTCTTTTAGTCGTTTAAGCAAAGCATTCTCAACTCAACAAACTATGAAACAATGTGGTTGTGCAAGTTGTTTTGCTGAGGTACGTAGAGCTATGTGAACGACATCTTTGGTGATAATTTGTGAAGTGGGTATTGGTCGATTACGCAACGAACTGTGTCGTCGTGTCTGCCACTGATTGCATGGCTTTTTCTTTCAGCAGCAGACGTACCTAATAAAAATTATTCGTGAAGTTATTCACGTTCTCCTCGTTGTTTAAGCCAGTTAATTTAAGCCACGATGTCGTTTCAACTCCCTCTAGGCATTGCCTGTATTTTTACGAGCCCTTACAGTACGTATTCACCGAGATCTCATCCATTCTGGTGTGCGGCAATATCTACACAGAATGATCATTTGTTTGGGTGAAGATATCTTGCCTTACATTCCTGTGGCCGTTACTCATTTACTTAAAGATCCAGAGGTAGTGTATATTTTGTGCATATATACTTTAACTTTACGCAGTAATAAATCAGTTATATTAATATATAAGGTGATACTGATGCACATGACAAATTACTGGAAGTACACATTGCAGACATCGTATATAGCAGATATTTCTACAGTTTGTTGTTATTAGTTGGCAAAGAAACATATGTTGTCGTGATGGAAAATATCTAAATTGAATAAATTTGTGGTTAAAATCTAAATTGAATAAATTTTGTTTCAGGCAAAAGATATTCAAGAATTCATTCCACTAATTAACCAGATTATTTCCAAATTTAAAGTGAGTATAGTGGTTTATTATAGCGTAGAATAATCAATAGATGTGCTATTTATATAGATAATTGCAATAAAGATCACTGGCAATTGCAATAAAGATCACTGATAGACGATTTTGTGTTTTTCAAATCGGTGGAAATGTCGGAGTTGTTGTTCTTGAAAGTTCATGATTGTCATGCTTGATGAGCTTGCGAAATTATTAACTTAATTTTTTTATTTAGAATCACATAACACCATTTCTTCAAGAAATATTTATGCCTATTGTCAGAACAATTTTCTCGGTTCTTAATCAACCTACCGACTCCCTTGACACACAGGTATTAAAGCGTTACCGTGTTGTTTTGCCATCTGTAATTTCGTATCAGGTTAAATAAATAATTTTTCTTTAGGCGACAAGAGAAAAAATGTCGTTAAAGAACAGTTACTTTCAGTTTATTGCTAGTCTTGTGAATAACAATATCGTCGAAGTTATACTTAGTCAAGGTGAGTAATTGTAGCTTCCTGGGGCCAGTTGTTCGAAAGGCGTTTAGCTTAAACGCTCTCAAACATCATTTGAATGACTGAAACTACATTTTATGCATTAAATATGTCCTTTCGTTGAAAATTAAACTATTTACATCGAAATATTTCAGCTCAGTAGTTCAATAAATCGATCGTTTTGTTTTCCATTTTGAACTTATCCACCGTTTAAGCTAAACGCCTTTCGAACAACCGGCCCCTGGCATAAAAGTTAGAATGTTGGTTAGTTACGTCCTGCAAGCTGCATTATGGATACACGCGTAATGTTATAACGAGTATTGTTTTACTTTTTATCGTGATGTAAATACACAATTGTAAGTTTTCTTGCACTGTACGAAAATTCAATTCAGTTCTTTGAAACAATCAATTAAATTTTTGCATTTATGCGAAATCCTATCTCAGAGCCGCAGAACACGCAGGAGGTCTTGATGACAATCATTCACGGTGCAGTTGAGCCTGCAGACTCCAGTGTAAGTGAAATAACATTTTGCAATGTTGTAACATTGTGGAACATGAGTTCATAAACTAAATGATACGTTGTCTTCTTCTAGTCTCAAAAAGCGTGTTTCGGAATTCTAAAGAAATTAGTGGAAATTTGGGGTATGTATTGGATGTAAAATAGTTGGACAAACATGCCGAATGAATGCCGAATTTTTACGATATTCTTTTTCACTTTTTCTCCAGGCAACACAGACGGACCAACTGCATTTCAAGAATTTCTATACAATCATATTATCCCATCATGTTTTGTGGCACCGTCGAAGCCAGAGTTTGACCTTAATGATGCACAAACTATTCTTGTATGTCTTTATTCCATCTGTTTTTGCTTTTCATAAACTTTTCTTTAGCTCAAAAATTTTGTGTTTCAATGTTTCATGTAGACATTGCAAGAAATTTCTTCAATCCAGAAAATACTCCATCAGAAACAGGTACATATCGTCTCACGTCAGTCATTTTGTAAAGTCACGTACTGAACAATATGCAGTCTTTTGATGTTGATCAGCAGATTTCTCGACGTCATAAATATTGTGTCATATGACCATGATAAGACTTAGAATTAGAATTATATTAGAATTAGAAGAATTAGACTTGTAATAATCACGGTCTGGATACGCGAGGCGTGTCACTGCTGGTCACCATATTGCATGCTTTGTGTATCATCATGCTTTTTAAAGTATAATTTTATGCATAAAATATTTAACATTTATACCTCAACTTTCAGGGCGGACAGTTCATTCACTTCTTGCAAAGTAAATATTTACCTTCCCTCAATCTTGCTCCAGAACTCATTCAGGTCAGTTTTGAATCAACCTTAAAATGATAGAAAAAATAACAACTAGATTTTAAATCACATGTATATTGATTTAATTTCAAGTATTGAACTCTCAGTCAAGAATTACCATTCTTATAGATATTAATATGTTATATGATTTTTTTCGTTAGGAGTATTGTCGTCATGTCGAACAAGCAGACGTTAAACAATTCAAAAATTTCCTAAAGGTGTTGTGTTGATATTTAACTGCTTTACTTCAAGTCTGTACAAATCTTGCTTCACGAGTGATATAGTTTCTCAATTGTCGTACATGTTCAATTCCGGAAGCGGTTAGTTTTCTGTTTTCGTCTGCGAAAAATTGAGAAACCTCAGGGAATTAACATAACTTTACAGTTACGGTAAAGAAATTTGGGGTCAAGCGCTAAACATTTGTCTAACTTTTATAAAGTGAATCCACGAACATACTATCAATCTACCGACTTGCTCCTGTCAGCTTGGGCAGCAAGGCAAACAAATCCTCCCCAAAAAACAACTAGACCTAAATATTCAACTTGAAAAGCAAATTAAGTTGGCAACTAACTTCAAGTTTGATTCAGGTGTTCAATGGTGATCATCTGGTAAAAACATAAGAAAATTTGACCAGTTTTACGTGCTTAGTGTTTACACGAGCAAACAGGGCGAATTGGAGTTGTGTGTGGACGTACTATCTCTAACTAGACTAAGGGCCTGTTTTCATGGAGCGAGTTATCCCGGCTAGGCGAGGTGAAAGCTGCATAATATAATGAAAGACTAATCAGGTTAAGCCTTTGATGTGATGCGCTTTTCATCTCGCCTAGCCAGGATAACTCGCTGCATGTAATCAGCCCCTAAAACCTGTTTCAGACGTCGAACTTTTAATGTGACTGTCGAAACTAACGTTAAAATTTAAGCGAAAATCTTTGTTTTAGTTTACTTGCATTCGATATCGGCACATGAAAAGTTCGACGTCTGAAACCGCCTTCTTCAATGCGTGCTCATTACACATCTTTTTACGTTTTTCTTTTACAGGCCTTCTTTAACAGTTTTAAATCGTGACATTTGCTTGTGGCTATGAGCTGGGCCAACTGAAGAAGGAAAAGAATCGGAAAAAAGAAGAGCGAGTTATATTTGTAAAATACAGAAGTAAATTTGAATGAAATATAATTTCAATAACGGGCAAAAATCGTGTTAACTTTTTAATATTTGACGCGTTCCGGCAATCGATGTAATCAATAATTTGGATGTTGTGCTATTCGTTGTATGAAAGATCGTTTATGACCATGTGTTAGCTATGATCCTTACGATCCAAATGAGGTGCAGATTCAAACAACGTAAGACTGCTGTAGGTGTGCGACTGTCGCTGTCCTAAAAACGGCTTTAGGGGATAAAAAAAATCCTGAAATTTATCACGATATACAACATGCATTACCCCCATATATGTGTTTATATGTTTCACTGTTTCACCAGAGGGCGTCTAATGTGACCAACGCAATAAACACAATGGATGATATAATAATGGATGATGATAATTAGAAATACGTGATCATCTATTGTTTATTTGTTTTTAATGCGTTCGACGCATAAGAAGCATTGATGTTTGAGAAAGTCTTAAATATGCAAAATGTCTCAAATATAGAAATTCCCAGCGCTTCTCGTGCTCAAATGTTTCGCTCTGTCATGAAGTTAGAATATTATATGAAGTATCGCCAGAAAAAGGGTTTTCCCCAAGTCACAATGATGTCATGATCTTCTTTTTCCCCAAAAAATACAACTTTAGTATAAAAGAATGACCAATTTCAATCCATTTTAGACGTCTTACAGCTAGCTTTATTCTCCCCAGATGGTGGCATTAAAAAATTAATAATTGTGAGTCTTCGGGCAGCTTTTTTAGATCGGCCAAAGTAGGTTCGTAACGTACGTTGGCATTACTTCCGGTCACTATATATCTGAATTAAGTGTGTACTGCAGCACAACAAAACAAACGCGTAATTGGAGGTTCAGTTATTTGGCCACGTAGAATCATCGCATCGAGTTGTCTTAACTAGGTATGGTTTGTTAGATAGTTAGTTATTTGTGAACAAGCGAAATCTATCTTAGAATTTACTCTTTTTAGTCTGAAAATGTATAAATGTATGCAGTTCGTCTTCAGAATTTTGATGGCGATTCAGCAATCTCGAGTATTCTAAACTTCTGATTTCTAGGTAGTCGTTGGTAATTTATTACGATTTAAATGGGGGCTAGGATGTTTGATATAAACTTTATCAGAACACTTGAAGTGTTCAGTTTTCAAATATGAAATAATTGAACCGATTAAAGTATTTGAAATCGAAATTTTTATACTATTTTTCACAAACATTGCATGCTGTTATTGCATTCTACACCTTTTCAGTTTTCCCGAGGTTTTTCTTGTTGCTGTTAATAGAATTTATTTATCAGAGTATCGAGCGCATATATTAAATACGATAAATTATATTTCTGAATATTAAAAATGAAATAGTATATTATTCTTGTAGCAATACAGGGAATCAGGCCCGAATATTAGAATATTAGTTATTTAGTTACTACTGAGCTGCATGTGTCACTGGAGTAATACTCAGGACTGGCAATAGTAACTAAATGACTGAAGGTAGTCCGATAGACGATGACTCACATGACTAAAGTTAAACATTCAAATGCACCCCTCAGTCAAGTTGAACTGCTATATAGTCACTTGAGTACAGAGAGTCAGAGAGACATCAATAGACCTTTCCCCTTTTAGCTTTCAAGCGCGCAATGCGTGACGGTAGTTGATTATCAAGCAACTTTGAGTTGCGATATCGCCTGCTTTGAAGCGATTTTGTTTGTAAGAAAAGCTTGTCGATTCTTATTGCTTCTTTGTTAAATTAAATCACTCCTAAAGATGGCGAAATAACAACTCAAATTGACCTTGATAATCAACTATCGTCAGTGACGCGTTGCGTGCTTGAAAGCTAACTGAAGAGGAGATGTCTAATGAACACGAAATATTCTGACATTTAGTACTACATACTTTTCATGAAATCTCTATAATATTAGCAGCCACAATTCACACCAGAAACAGATTATTTGACATTTTTCTGGATTCTGGAAAAGCTTGGGCAAAGATTAGTTTAACTAAAATCATCTGTGGGATACCAAATGTATTTATTACAAGCAGAGCCAATTCATTCTGGGGTATTACGCAGACTGAAATCTGTGCATATAATAAATAGCATATACAGTATCTATGTAGTATACCTTTTGTACTCCCTGCCCTAAAAGTAAAAGCACTTACGTTAAACTGTGAACATGTAGGTCTGGATTCAAGACGCGCCATGGCAGCTGAATTTATGAAGTCACGACGAGAAAGTGCAAGTTACTTCTGGTACATGGAGCATGAACTTGGCCATGGGGCAACTGGCAATGTTTATAAATGCCAAGACAAAGTAAATGATTCTCTATTTTATATTTTATATGTTCGGTTTATCACTAATTTAATGACGTTTAGGTTTATAAACCCGCTATTTCAGGTAGAACGGAAGCCTGCTTCAGAGGCTGTTCACATGAGCCCGGTTACCGAGATTTAACTAAGCGTAAACCAAACTTTGAGGTATTCAAATAACATTATCCTGGTGGTCATGTATAGTAACAATAGCATGTGCTTGTTCGGTTTCAAAAAGACTTGTTTTAAATACCTCGAAATCATCTCAAGCATCGTTGCGGAATCTCAGGTAACGGCGGGGCTCATGTGAAGTGTGAACAGCCCCTCAATGCTTGCTATTTCAAGATATGATATGCTGGCGTAGTTATTTTTTGTTTCGTGAGCACTAGACCATGGTCTGCCTCTTCCCTGGCTACAACCCTGCTGACTACGTTTTTACTGAAGTGCAATTTTCAAATTTTAACTTTATAATAGAAAACAGGGAAGGAATTTGCAGCAAAGGTGTTTAATGTACATGGAATGAACAGACCAGAAGATGTGACTGGACGAGAGCTGAATGTTCTGAGGAAACTTAAAAACTGTACACATGAAAATATCGTGAGAGTTATTGAAATCGAAGAAGAGGTATTTAATTGCAAACTATAATTTAACAAAAACTTTTATCAGCAAATCTCCGCTTTCTACTTGCTTTTTAAGAAGCATCTTCAAGGGTATAATTATATCAGTATTTTTGAAACTGCTTGTCTTACTCACCAAGCCCAGATGTACTTAGTCATTGATTGTGTATATTTTTAGAGATGTTCCAATGGTTAGCTATGATTTTTCATTTGCAGATGAATTTCGACACCTATGTGATAATCATGGAGTATTGCTCAGGAGGAAGCCTACATAGTATGTTGGATAAACCCGAGAATGCGTTCGGTTTTGATGAGAATGATTTCAAACAAGTCGCCTTTGATGTTGGTAAGTTAAAGTTGGACGAATTTTAGAAATGGTAAGCAAAAATGTGGTTCTTGAATACACACGAGTTGTATCTTGAACGTGCAGTGGCATTAGATGATTGTGAGGATGAATAGGCGCAGGATTTGTCTGGGTAAAATCCTACTTCGATTGCAATCTTGTCCAGATGAAGTTCTTTTCAGTGGGGGTCCTTATATTTATCAGCAGTTATATATAATATTGTCAATTGTAGTACATAATATGTCCTATATGCTTAATTTGAAATTATTCGGATATTAAATTATGTCTTATTGCGTTTTTTGTCTCCTATACAAGTATCTGGTATGAAATATCTGAATGACAATAGCATGATTCATCGTGATATAAAGCCTGGGAATATCTTGAGATATATCAAAGATGACTACAGGTGAGGACTGCATGAGTCAATTGATTGACTCACTATTAACTGTGATTGGACGTATGAGATACGATCAAGCCCATTCCACTATATTTGTTCACGCGAACCGATAGTAGAAAGGGAACCAACTTTTTTCGCGGCAAATAGGCCTAGGAAAGGTCACTTTCTCTTGGCTTGAACTAGAGGTATATATTGATTTCTTATTTTGAGCTTTATATCTTGCAGCTCCGTCTACAAGTTGACGGACTTTGGGGCAGCAAGAGAACTTGCACCTGAACAAGAATTTATGTCAATTTATGGGACAGAAGAATATCTGGTATCAATTACCATATAAATAAAATCTAACTCGCAGATTCGGATCATACATGAAATTTAAATTGCTGGACAGTGATGAGATAATTTATTTAATGCTATCAGAATGATAATTATGACAATATACAATGATATTATTATTCAAGGGCTCTAAATAATCTTCACTTTTTAAAAATTTTTTCAGCATCCTGATATGTTTGAACGAGGTGTCCTAAAATTTTCTTCCAAAGACAAAAAGTTCACAGCAAACGTAAGACACTCTCAACCTAGTCGCACTTTGCAGGAATCACGCCGGTTAAACTGAAAGGCGCGATTAGGGCTTTAACTGAAATTGATTTGTTTTGATGTTTAATAGGTTGATTTGTGGAGTCTTGGGGCTACATTTTATCATGTTGCAACTGGTAAACTGCCGTTTAGACCTTACGAGGGTAGAGTGGACCGTCAAAAAATGTATGTAAAACAAAATATGCGTGTTTTGCCTTCAACACATGTTCTTATTTTTAATTTTTTAACTTTATAAACATCATGCCACCATTTTGCAACATATCATTTGTATGCATTTATCACTAACACGACAAATTTGGCAGAAACACCACTTATTGCCAATTTTTAGGTTTGAAATAACTAGTAAAAAAGGACCGGGAGATATTTCTGGTATCCAGAAAGAAAAAGACGGACCCATAGAATGGAGTAACAAACTACCCGAGCATAGCAGATTGTCACAGTAAGAATATTCACATATGCAATGCTAACACATTAATGTGTAATACTTTAAGTTAAACCATGTTTTTGTAATTACCAGAGGGTTAAAAGAACATTTACTGAAAATTCTGCCCAGACTTCTTGAGACAGATCCAAACAAAGGAATGAAGTTTGATGAACTGTTCCAAGCCATGGAAAAGATAAAGGCAATGAAGGTTGGCGAAGGACAATTTTATCGCTGTCTCTGCCACAGATATATCAAATTTACCTACCAATATCTGATCTTAGCCAGTGTTATATTATACTTGTATAGGTGATTCACGTTTATAGCGTGCATTCCGGAACAATTCATTTAATTTATGCAAATCCAGAAGACAAGTAAGTCACTGACTTTGATTATTAACTGGATGATTGTAGATAGAATTATCAATGCGCTGCACTGTATTGATATTATTTCAGAACCGTGTTTACTTTAAATTACTAGTAAAGGCAATCCCATGGATATAATAAAACCTCTAGTGCATGCAGGCTATTAAAAATGCCACAATAATGCAAGCGTGACTACAACGTGTATGTAGGTTCTTGGCAGAGTAAAATCCCTCGAAAAATCTAGCTGTTATTAAAAACCCAGCATTTTCCTACCCGTTTAGTTTTGCTCGTTTCCAAGAGCTGGTTGCAATTCAAACTGGTGTGAGTGCCCGACAACAAGATTTATTTTACAACAACTATACTTTCAAACCATGCTCAATGGCGACTGTTTCGACATATCCCAATACAACGGTAAGATATGTTACACTTACCCAACCGTCAGGGTACATTATTACCGCGAAGTAATCGCTTAATTGCAGTATTAATTACCTCATGTAGCTAACTGCTGAGTTTTATTTCCATTTAGGAACAGAGACCAATACTGGTTCTTGGTGGGGACAGTATACCCTCGGAGAAAATTTCTGCCCAAGTGGATCGTATGTAACGATTTTTCACAGCATATTCCATGGATCAATAATTCTGAGCTCTTCTTGCCACATCTCTTCGTCTTGTACTCCATCCTCGTTCCAAGGTTTTACTGCGCACGCAGTACGCGAAAAACCTGGGAACGAGGATGCTTGTACTCCTTCAGTCATATACTCAGGCAATGGCGTATTTCTTAGTTACTTTATTAATATTTGCCTCATTGTCACTCATTACAGTAAAGAAGCCGAGATTTCACACTTCTACAAACATAGAGCTTTTGGAATCTGATGCCGCAATAAGCAAGGTGGATGCATGATCAATGTTTTAATCCCAATTTCTGTTGTAGGTTGATTAAACAAATGATGTATTTTTCAATTAATGTTAACTTAAGGTGGCGGCTTCAAATATACAATGGTGCTTGCACAATGTGAAAAACGTTGACGTATCAACGAACTTGACTTTGGAGGCAGCTCAAAACGTCATGTAAGAAACGTATTTAAATCTAGCTTTGTGACCCGGGCATGAGGCAAGGTGTTCACTGTACTTCTAACATTTGGCCTCCATACCGACCATACGGTTTAATAGACATATCGCAACGAAGCGGGGAATTATACCGTAACAGTTATCATGACAATCACGCACGTCGTTGAATTCTCTGTTGTTCAGAGTTATGTCATTAAGCTTAAAAAGTGTATTACGGCATTAAATGACAGATTAAGACATGTTCTTTCCTTTAGTTCATGTTTACCCAAATCTCGATCGATCTGCATCGTGAGGACAATGGTTTTTTTGCACCATCAAATATCCTCCAGTAGCGTCACCTCGAACGTCAAATTCATACTTTTGAAATATTAATCAGTAAAATCTTAAAATATTGATGAATATAGTGAAGCCGTCTCAACATCAAACTCCAACCCATTGCCAAGCTTCCGTGCATATATATACAATTTCTTCATTGTCCAATGTAGAATCATGTAAAATATTATTTAATTGTATATTTTTATGAATATGATAATCTTTCGAGTATATGCTAATAATATGATACCCAAATAATATCCAAACTTTAGGACATTGTTAAAACGAAAAGCAAGAAAATACCTTGACGACGCAAAAGCAATCGAAAATCACTGCCAAAGCATAGTGATGAAGCACCAAGCTTGTCTCAATGGGTAATTATTGCAAATATTTCAATCCAGTTAAATATATATCGCACTATGGATATATTGCGGTATTTTGACATATGTTCAGTCAGACAGTGGAATATTGATTTTCTTTTTGTAGATGTAACTTTCAAGTGGAAGTTATGCAGACAATAGGCAATGATGAAGATATTCCCAAAGGTAAGAAGGTGTTTTAAACTGAGCTATTCGTTTTTCTCTTGGCCAGTTGAAGCTGCATGTGATTTGTTGCCATACAATTTATACCAGGCATCATCACCGGGCGTCGCACGATCTTAAACCTTTATTGAAAACGTGAGAAACTAAATCGCTACTAATCATGACTAAGTAAACTTTTTTAAATTTAGAAATTGTCGCCGAGCTGGATACCTTGATTAAAGAGACCGATAGTTTTAAGAAAAACATGGAAAAGGTATTGACTGTGTTTTCTCTGAAGCCCATTCAGTATCAAAGGTCAGGTGAATGTTCACCCAACAAACGGCGAAATGTGCTAGATTAGCAATTGGGGTGCATGCGGCTGATTTATATCAATTCAAGCTATCTAATATGAGCGTGTGTAACTTTCAAGCTTCAAGGAGAAATGGTTGCACCGTTGGAAAAGTTACGTACTACGGCACAGACCTTGCTTTCTGATGGCGAATTGGCGAAAAAATGGGAAAATATGAACATTGATGACAAGCCTGAAAAGTAGTAAGTAATAATGTCGAAGTACACTCCTTTTAATGTTACAAAAGATATTGTTAATAATTCCGCATGGGGCAACCTATCGTAAGTTATTATTGTTTAAAAATCCTCATCTCATTCTTACACTGAGCTTTCATTTTAGTGTTGCTAAGATAAAAATGTACACAGAGAAAGTAGAAGAGATCACAGGACGTATTCAATGGAGAAAAAAGCATAGATATAGTAAGTTCATTTTTGTCTATGCTCCAGTAAGTTCATTTTTGTCTTTGCTCCAGTAAGTTCATTTTTGTCTATGCCCCAGTAAGTTCATTTTTGTCTATGCCCCAGCAAGTTCATTTTTGTCTATGCCCCAGTAAGTTCATTTTTGTCTATGCCCCAGCAAGTTCATTTTTGTCTATGCTATAGATCCAGTTACCTAAGATATTAGAAAATAAACCTCTAGACCACAACAATTAACCAAATCACTTTCATCACGTTGTTTTTAATAATTTTCTTGTATGATTGCATGGCGACTCTACAAGTTATTATAATTACGTTGTTTTTACTTAGATATTACCAGGGAACATTTAGAACAACATAAGTTTGACAGGTATATTGCACGCACTAGCGTAGAACTTTATGTGTGAAGTAATTGTCTTGTCGCGTTGTATATTTTATATGTAAAAGCAAAAGCGTAGGTTCGATTCCTGCCGGAGGACCGATAGTTGACTCATTTTTCTATCAACTGTTCCTGGCTTGAATTTGAAGTGTGTATAATTCCACTCCATATTCACATTGATTTTAAAATGAATTTAGTGACTTTTTCTATTTTTCGGAGGTTTACCACTTAATCTGAACTATTATTGCCATAAAAAAAATTGGGACAGATTAAATTAAGCAGTAAAATTTAGATTTATGGACGTTGATACTTTGGTGAACGATGAAAAATTAAGCTTATAAAGCTGATTAAATAAAGGAAATAATTATTGTCTTACGAGCAAAATAGGGTCGTCTCTTATGTCTATAAGTCATTTCTACAAAACTAAGCAATACTTCGTCATCCTTTGCGAGTTTATAACGTTCAATGTTTTAGTAAAACAACCTTTATTGAATTACCTTTATATTCTACCAAATCATAACAGGAAATGTCGTTAATAGACCTTATGCATCATGACGTATCAAGCCATGACGCCTGCAGGGAATTCTTGTTTTAGTAGTCACGGCGAAAAATTCAAACTTCAAAATTTCCCGCCGTGGCTACAAAAACCAGAATTCCCTGCAGGTCTCACGGCTTATTACGTCATTATGCATAAGGTCTATTAACCTGGAATTTTTCCCTCACCTCAGATTTCATTTGGAAGAGTACTTTACGAAGGCCAAAGATGCAATGGACGCCTGTCAAAACCGAAGACAAAAGTTACATGAGAATTTGCAGAAGTGGTTGGAGTAAGAACAGTTTTCTAATTCGGATGACAATCATAAGGCAGTCTGCAAGAAACATTCGAACGTTATGCGTTGACTTACTGTAAAAAACTTAGTACTTTGGTACCCTGTATTATTATTGTTTTATATAAAGCCATATTTTATATTAGGGAGGTGTTCACCTGTCGAAGCAATTTGAAGCAAATGCGCAAAGAAGTAGAATCGTTTATTGACATGTTTAATGCTCTGGCATCAAGTGAAGAGAAGGTAGGAATTAATGTATATTATCGTAAATTCAAGATGACAACACCTCTTCCCTTCTTATAAACGTTTTGCTCTCCCTCCTCCAGTAATCTTCTTCTCATCCTGCCTAATATTTCCGAAAAGTCTCCTCCCCCCTTCTTGAGTTGATATGCTCTACTCAACAAACCTCTCACTCTTACTTGTTCCTTCGATAAACCTCTCAAATAAATGCCCACACATGTCTCAACAAGCATTCCTCCATATTTTCCTTACTAATATTTCCCTAAATAGTTTTGCTCCTCTTTCACATCATTCTGATGTCATTCTCTTCTTCTAAATTCTCCTCCCCCTGTTTCTTTATAATATACACTTCAAAATACGCTTCCCTATGGCAGCGGGAAAACATTTACTTATTAGTGATGTATGCATTCATTTACTCGTTTTTTGCCTTATCCCAAGTAGTTCATATTAATATATTAATTTTTTGGCGGCTTAAGTGACTGTATTATTCTCTGATCGCTCAAAATCTTTTGATAAATCGAGATCAAGTACGTCTGCTTTGAGGAATAACTATGAATAGAATGATGAATACACTCTACGAATTAATCCTGCTTCTAAATATAACACACGTGCATCTTAAAGTTAAGAAGAAATTCAGGTCTCAGGTTAACTGGAGATGTGGCAGTATATCGTAATGAAAAGTACCTTTTTAAAAGTCGTCAAATAGTATTAACTGAAACAAAACTTATTCGATTATTACAGTGGCGTGCCGATCACATGACAAGAATGAAGAGCGTTGTGAGTAAAGCTCGTCACCAGGTTCGCCGCGCAATCAGTACGCAAAGTTCTACATCTGACCAACAGTCGTCTTCAGAAGATGCAAGAAATGATGGTGACGTTGTGCAACTTGGTTCAGATTTTATTGACGACATAAATGACAAGTGAGTCATAGAATGCTATACTAAATCTCTGAGTTAACAAAGCCCGCCGCACATGTGAGCTATTATTAGCTATAGACCACGCTTGACTGTTATCTCAGCAAGTTACTCTCACGTGCGGATAGTTTTTCGTGATGAATTCGCAACGAGAGGCAAGTTTCTCACGCGTGCGGATGGTTTTCGGGCTGAGCTAACTGCTTCGCGAGGTCGTTAGCTCAGCTGATAACACTCGTGGGCGGCGAGCTTAAGAAAGGCATATCTCCCTATCTGTCGACGAAATGTGAAACCGTATGATACAAAACTCAATAATTAAAAACAAAATTCAATAATTGTTTTGTTATCTTTTTATTGTTAGGCTACAAGTTCTTACAACTGAAACAAAAGAAGCAAAATCTCAGTTGAAAAAAGGCTCTGAAACATTTCAAAAGTAAGCTTAAGTGCATAATAATCACGTAACATTGAGAAGGGATAAGAAAGGTTAAATGCACTTAACTCGAGTCATTATTGTATGGATGACGTAAATTTAAAATTTCAGCACGTGTTTGGAACTTTTAGGATAAACTCTTGAAATATTGCGTTAAATTTCCCATCACCTAATGTTTGAAAAGTCCTTAAATATGTTAAATTTATTAAATTTGAAAGCCTACCGTTGCCTTGTTCTTGACTTGAAATTTTTTGATATATTCGTTTTTTTGTTTTTAGGTTTGTTGAAGATCTCATTGAAGGCTTGAGTGAAAAGACTCGAGAAATGCAAAATGAGCAACAGATCGATCCCACACGAGCTTCGTGAAGAGTGCATTCATGCATCATGAAAGGCATTTTAAATTACCAAAGGAGCCCGCTTTATGTATTCTTATGGAGTGGAAACTTGTAATTCCAAGATAATCATATACAATCTTAGAAAAGCCAAAAATAAGCTTCTTGTTTTGCGAAAAATATTCTTGATTTCCTATTTCCTTCAGATAGTTATTGGAAAAGGCCATATATTTATCGTTTGTCCGGGTTTCCAGGCCTCTTTTCGATGTTTACTTCTCTGCTTCTCTGTTTTATATTTGTTCTATATTTTATTTACATTAGTCTGTTCGTTATATCACTGATTTGATCAATAGTATACCATAGTTATTTGTATTGGATATTGTCATAAATTATACAACGAGATAAAAATTCAACCAATCATTGTTTCATTGTTGAGTCTTAATGACGATCCGTTATAAAAAGACAATGACTGATGACAGATACTTTCAATCTCGTTTAAGTTTTCCAGCCATGAAAATGAATGGCGGTTGAATTTATATATATGGTGCATTCGCCAGTTTGGATAAATGAGTGAATTTAGACTTAATAATTTTTAATCACGTTATACCCTTCGGACTAAGGAATAATTCAAACTGAGGATTTAAAAGCCATATTAACAAGAGCGAAGACACGGTTACACCGGATAAATGCGATTTCCCGTCGATAGGCTACAGCCTTTCTCCCTCAATCAGGCGCAGCATTACGTCATGAGGGAAGGATTTTTTTCTAAAGGGATGGAGAGGGTCATTCATGTAGCGCATCTTTAACAGTTAAGAATTAATATCGCTTTAATTTAGGCATTGAAATGAACACTGTTGCATGATATGTATAAGATAAAGTGAGGATAGATTAATTTCTGTCATCAAAAACAAATGACACTTTTATTTTAAGCTTACACTCTTATCAAGAATAAATCATAACTTATGCACAAACCAACTTTCCAGTCTTTTATTGAAACAGAATACCCTCTCCGGTCTCTCATACTTTTGCCCTATACGTCTTGAACAATAAGAATATTTTAAAAATCTGACCGTCCATATCTGACAGCTATATTAGCATATTTAATTATTATTTTGCGGACATGTTTTAAATGGCAAAATTTATTATTGCGACAAATTGGGAATGTTTAGATAACCCAAGAGATGATAAATTTAATTAAACCAAACACCTTTTATTAGTTAGCAATATAGAAATAGTCAGTAAACCAGTTGTAATTTTTGCTTTGCCTAATTTGTTTTTCGATTGATTTTCGATATTTTACGAGTTATGTCGTAATTGGTTGCAAACAATTCCAGCTGGCAGCCTGGAAAGTTACTTTAGTTAAGATTGATTTACTATATTTAGAACCTTAAGTCCATATGTCTGCATACATGCATGTATCATGGCGTCTGGTTCGTTATCTATGCATGCTTCTTGTCCCCAATTAATTCAATGACGATTGAACACATTGAATTTTAATATTTGGTGTATGAAAGAACCTAAGTACATGTACCTACTTCGGCAGAGTGGCAAAATTAATTCGTGGCAAAATTAATTCTAGACAATGAAGAAACTTTTTGTTTAAAGATAGCGTGTATAATATGAACCTCGAAACTTCTTTGAACGTGATATTTCTCTGTCTTCTCAACGTCTCATTCATGATTGCAGGAATATTTTTAAATTCCGTTGTTATAATCAGTTTTTGGAGATCGTCACAACTACGAAAGAGACTATGCTACTTTATGATTCTTGTTTTATCATGTTTTGATCTGGCTGTGGTTATCATCACTCATCCTCTTCTCATTTGGTCAACGATTTCTGTTTTCCTGTCAGTTCAAATTAATCAAACGCTGGAACAAACAAGGATGTACGTCTCAGGCGTTCTGCAAACCTTTTCTGCGTTGGCTCTTCTTACACTGAATATCGAACGGATCTTCGCTTTAAAATATCCCTTCTTTCATCAAACCTCAGTGACAAAAGGGAAGATGGGATTTCTTCAAGGGATTTTGATGGTATTATTTATCAGTGTTTTAGCATTGCAGCGCGTGATCCGGAGATCATTAATCTATACATTTACAACGGTTTATACTTTCATTTTATTGTTGTCGTTCCTCTACCTCAATTACAAGATGTTTACCATCGCTTTGTCCAAACGCAGGGACGACATAATTACAGAGTCGGATGGTCAAGAAAGAGAAAAATCGAAGTTCCTATTTAAAACATTTTCCACTTGCTTCTTATTAATTTTTTCTTTTTTCATTTGTTCTTGTCCGATAATTGTACATTCTGTGTTGTGTCAAACAGTGTGGAAAACGTCCCTTTACCACAACAGACGAGTGATTGTGCTGCATATTTGGGCAAGTACATTTGTCTCAATGAACTCGACATTCAACTGTCTGATATTCTTCTGGAAAAATTCTGTTCTTCGAAGGGAAGGCACAGAGATTTTGAGTTGTATAAAATGTAAAATTTTGGTCACGTAAATTGTCTGCATGCAGCATGCATGTGTATTGTTGTCGCACTAACGCAAAAATACTACAAGTATTTTACAAATGGGCGAATAGATCGAGAAACACCCATGCAAGGCTGAATACATCAGTTTGTAAAATATGCGAATGTTTTGTGGGGATATATATCATGCAGCCTTTAACTTTGCCATCTTTTATGAATACCTTAAATATGATGAATAAATTTATGGAAAACCGATTAGGTTTAGTTTTATAAGAGCCAGAAACTTGCATGAGGTATTAAAGAATATTGAAACTTTTCTGATAACTTGATAATAAAAAAGCAGGGAGCAGCGTGGCAGCGTCTTCAAACAACTTAGCATCAAATGTGGTATAACAACTGCCTAAAATAGAAGTGTTTTGTCTATTTGAGGCAGTTGTTATACCACATTTGATGCTAAGTTGATATTTAAAAACTATCATCATTGCAAAGAATGCACAACAAAGGCAAAGAAACGAGATTTTTCGATCAAATATTTTGGTCCATAACTTCCTATTTTCGCATAATTATGTTCATTTGAATATTCATTTAATTGCTTTACATAAGCAAATATAATACAGTGCGGTTTGCCTTTGTCTCAGTGCCTCAAGAAAAGGCTCACTTAATTTCCGCATGTTTTTCATCAGTTTCGCGATGTTTTTTTACCATGCTCAAGGAGACGGAGAGGAAGAAAAATACAGACCCCTGGATAACTCAAGAACAATCGAAGGCATCAAGATTGCTGTGCTGAAATAGACATGCAAAAAAGAGAATATGGGAGCATATGATTTAAAATTTCGATAATACAATCATTTCAGAAAGTAGATTTCTCTTTTTTTTCTTATGCATTGTTCGTGTTTAAAGTTGATTAATAAGCCACTAATTATATATTTGAACATTGTGTTTCGATTTTTTTGAATGGCGAAATTTATTTTTGCGACAAATTAGAAATGTTTATATCACCTAGGAGATTGAATTTGACATAAAACTTTCATTAGTGCTATAGGAAATTAGTTGTATAATTTCAGCCCCAGCTTCTTTAATTGTGCTTTGATTTCTGAGTTCGTATGTCCCAATTGCATGGCTAGTAATTATAGTTTCATGCAGTGTGGTAGAAATTGATCTACCTCGAATCCTCGATGAAAATAACCCGAGGGAGTGCATGCTATACTTCTCCGAAAACCTTGCATTCATCATGTTCTTCATTTGCCTCTTTCAAAGGCAGAATTATTTCACATCCGCAGTGCATCGATCCTTGGTTTTGTCAAATATAGAGGCGCAAAATGATGAGGTGCAGGTGCAAAAGATGCGACAATGAATAATTATATCACATTTGATGCGAAGTTGTTTGAAGACGCGCCGCCATGCACACTGGTCCCTGGGTATATTGCCCTATTCCTTATTGTTGCCAAGGTATTAGGTTCACACATCCATATGCATGTCCACATCGTCATATATAGTTTCAACGATTTACGTCTTTTGTCACATGTTAATCCAGCGGCCTGGAATTAACAAGGGCTTGCTTTTATAAACTGATATCCTTTTTTTCATCAAACAACAGTGACATAATGTTAAGATAAACATTAATATCCAGATGACGTCAGTCTATCTATGAACACGTGTCATGATCACATGAACACTAGCAATATGAAAGTTTTGTTTCATGCAGTTATTAGTTAGTTGTAGTTGACTCCAGTACTTGTAAAGTTGTACAAGTTTTCGTTGATAAATATTGTTTATATAAGTCTTCCACCGTTACAAGTTTAACAATCTTTCTTCTGGGATCTCCAATGATATATTTCATTATTCCTGTGGTATGCATTTGCCACGCATCGATCTATATCCATTTATAATCGCTTACTTTTTTATAATATTGTTGATTTTTGTGTTATATCTAGTTTACTAAGGTTAGCCGAAATTATGATATTAGGATAAGTCCACAAGCATTCATCATATATAATGTAACCGACAATTGAAGAATTGTTGGTTGTGCTTCCATGAAAATGTTTAGTCTTTGTTTATCCACCTTCCACATAGAGCAAGAAAAAGTCATTAATCCGCTTGCCATATCGCCACAGTAAATATGCGCTTTTTTCTCTACCTTTCGACGTTAAATGCACATAATAAAATAGTATTGTTGTCCTTAAAAATCAAAAACCAAACTTTTATTATTTGTCGATAGAAAAATGAAAGCGCTCCCTTTTTCTTCCTTTGGAGTTTCCTTTTTATTCATAGGGCATGCGGATGCCAGGCACGGATTGCCAACTAGGGTCAGCTGTTTTAATTGTTCCAAGTTTCTCGAGAAATAATTATTATAAAAATAGTTAATATATACTTATTATAAAAATTGTACTTTAATAAAAATAGTTCAAGCCCATTCTGGGGTCGCTTTGAATGTCCTTTCCATTCCATACATACAAGCCGTATTTCATATGTACCGAGATACAGTAACGACAATTGATATAATGAGCTAACTGTCTATTTCATGTTTTTAATGTATTCGGCACATCTAAAATTCGGTGTTGAGACGGGTCTAAGTATATATCTACTTATACACAATGACAAAATTTTGTAGGCAGATGTTCAAGGAAAATTTTGTTAAAGAATAACGAGAAAATATGAACATCGAAACTTCCTTAAACGTGATATTTCTCTGTCTTCTCAACGTTTTATTCATGATTGCAGGAATATTTTTAAATTCTGTGGTTATAATCAGTTTCTGGAGGTCGTCACAACTACGAAAGAGACTATGCTACTTTATGATTCTTGTTTTATCATGTTTTGATCTGGCTGTGGTTATCATCACTCATCCTCTTCTCATTTTCTCAACGATTTCTGTTTTCCTGTTTCAAATTAATCAAACGCCGGAGCAAACAAGGTTCTACGTCTCAGGTATACTACAGAACTC